CCTGTAGAGTTTTACCTATATTAGGTTTTCCTACTTGCATATCTATATGACTGACTTCTCTTTTTGTTCGCTGTTCCCCTTACCCTTTGTAAAATTACAGCACTAAGCTGTTTGCATTCAAAGGATTAAATTACAGAATGTGGTTTGCTATGACACACCTCCATGACTATCACATCCTGATACGGGATTTCCGCCTGTTTCCTTGAGCCCAGAGGGACAGACACGGGATTTTCATTGTCCCACCATTGGTGGCTGTGCCCACACATGCCTGGGTACTAACTTCTCCTTGATCATCTTGATCAGACGTGGCACAGTGGTTAGCATTGCTGCTCCTAAGGGACCCAGGCTCAATTCCCACCTCGGGCGACTGTCTGTGTGCAGTTTGTATAGTCTCCCCGTGTCTGCGTGGGTTTCCTCCGGGTGCTCCGGTTTCCTCCCACAGTCCAAAAATGGATTGACTATGATAATAAAAATTGCCCATAGTGTCCAGGGATGTGCAGCCTGGGTGGATTATGCATGGGAAAATGCAACAGAAGAGGGTTGGGTCTGGGGGGGGGCGGGAATACTCTTTGGAGGGTTGGTGTGGATTCGACGGGCTGAATGGTCTGTTTCCATACTGTATGATCCTATGACCTGTTGCAATATATCCTACATATCTCTGTGCTAAAATTTGTTTGGCAATGCTCATTGGAACATTTTATGATGATAATGGTGCTTTACAAATTCAAATTGATGGCGTTATTGATTCACATTAAAATTAAGGGATAAATAAAGGTCTCAGGACAGGAGTCAGTTTCACGAAATGTTCAATGCAGCTTTTTTAATCAACGTGTTCAGAAATGTTGTACCATACCTCTGGAGCAGGTGAACACAGGCCTCTTGGTCAAGATGCAGGTACACTACCGCCGTACCACAGGAGTCCCATACAGACAATGTATAAAACACGTTTTATTGGCAGCATATGCTGATCATTAGTTTTAACTTCCTTCAGACATGAGAGAACTAAAACCTTTGGATGGGAATGCAGCATCTGGGTAACGTAAAACCCAATTTTTTTTAATAAGAATCACTGCATTTACTCAATAGAATAACTTCTTTCTGGCTAGTCATCTTCTGCATTATGGGCTTGCATTGGGTTAAGATGGTGTCTGTTGTGCAGGAATATTGCAAACTCCAATTAATGGGTTAGATTTGAATGAAGAAACAGTGTGGTGAAGGCAATCTGTCAGATCATTTAACACTTGTCAACAAGAGATCATTGTCATTGATGCAGCGGATATTCACTTGTCTGTGTTCTCATCTCTCACCATCGCAATCAGAATGGTTTTTGTTCCTTTTTAAATCATTTTCCATCACCTGGCCAGTTGTTAAGTTTTGTAGTCAGAGCTGACAGAATATCTGACCTATTAAATATGGGTTAAATGTTTTCTTCCTCATGAACCACCAAAACCTAATCCCACTGTCTTGTTTCTGTTCATATTCTTTCAAGCTCTTTTCCATGCAACTATCAAGTTCCTTTTAAAAACACTTCATGGTTTCTCTCCTAAGTGTCATTTCTGAACACTGTAAATGATTGATGTGATTCTAAATAGTTATGTCCTCCAGATAAAACTGTCACCTGAACTGGAAGGGCACCAGTATCCTAGCAGAGAGGGTGTGGCAAAACGGTGGCAACCAGAGCAGTAGATCAGCATGTGAAGTGATTGAGGGAAAGGTTGACATTAAGTCATTGAGTTTAATAGGAAGGACAGGCAGAGGCACGTTAACGCAATTAACACAGCAGGATCACAGAACGGTACAGCACAGGAACAGGCTCTTCAGCCCTCCAGGCCTGCGCTGACACATTTTGCCCTTCCATACTAGAACTGTCTTCACTTACAGGATCCATATCCCTCTATTCCCTTCCTATTCATGTATTCATCCAGGTGTTTCTTGAACGCTGCTATTATGTCTGCTTCCAGCACCTCCTCTGGCAGCGTGTTCCAGGCACTCACCACCCTTTGTGTGAAATAAATGCTTCACACATTTTTAAACTTCCGCCCCTTCACACCTTGAATCTGTGTCCCCCAATAATTGACCCTCCACCCTGGGAAAAAGCCTCATACTTTCCACTCTATCCATGCCATTCACAATCTTATAAACTTCTATCAGGTCGCCCCTCAACCTCCTGTGTTCCAGTGAAAACAAACCCAGTCTATCCAACCTTTCTTCATAGCTAAAATCCCCCATACCAGGCAACATCCTGGTAAACCTTTTCTGTATCGTCTCCAAAACATCCACATCGTTCTGGTAGTGTGGTGACTGGAACTGTACACAATATTCCAAGTGTGGCCTAACTAAAGGTCTATAAAGCTGCAGCATAACTTGTCTATCCTCATACACAATGTCCGTTCAAATGAAGGCAAGCATGCCATAAGCTTTTTTTACTGCCGTATCTATCTGTGCTGCTGCCTTCAGCGAAAGTGGACCTGCACACCCAGATCCCTCTGCACACCAATACTCCTAAGGGTCTTGTCATTCACTGTGTAATTTTCACCTGTACCTGACCTTCCAAAATATATCAACTCAAATTTGTCTGGATTAAACTCCATCTGCCATTTTTCTGCCCATGCCTCCAACTGATCTATATCCTGCTGTATCCTCTGACAATCCTCCTCACTATCCGCAACTCCACCAACTGGTGCCTGAAGTATATTTGTCATAGTCATACTGAGGGAGGACATCTTGGAGGGCTCTTTCAGCAAGGCAGTATGGGTAGAGCTCAGGAATAAGAAAGGCTCAGTCACTATGATGCGGTTGTACTGTAGGCTCCCAATAGCCAGCAGGAGATAAAGGACAGAGATGTAAGCAGGTTATGGAAAGATGTAAAAACAACAGTGTTGTTGTAGTGGATGATTTAACTTCCCCAATATTGATTCCTCCAGTGCCTGGGCTTAGATGGGATAGAATTTGTTAGGTACATCCAGGAGGGTTTTGAAACAATGTGTTGATAGTCCAACTAGAGAAGGGGATGTACTAGAGATTATATTGGGAAATGAGCCAAGCCAGGTGATCAAAACTTTAGTGGGGGACCACTTTGGGAACAGTGATCATAATTCAATAAGTTTTAAAATAATTGTGGATAAGGATAAGACTGGTTCTTGGATGAAAGTGCTTAATTGGGGAAGGCTAATTACACCAGTATTAGGTAGGAACTGGACAAATTAGATTGGGGGCAGCTGTTTGAGCGTAAATCCACATCTGACATGTGATCAGAGTTCAGGACCAACATGTTCCTGTGAGGATGAAAGATAAAGATGGCAAGATTCAGGAATTTTCTGTGACAAAAGATATTGAAAGTTTACTCAAAAAGGAAAGGGAGGCACATGAAAGGTTTAGAAAAATGAAATTAAACAATGTCTGTAAGGAATATAAAGGAAGCAGAAAATAATTTAAACAAGGGATCAGGAGGGCTATAAGGGACCATGAAATATCCATGGCTAGTAGGTTTAAGGAGAATCCTAAGGCATTTTATACATATATTAGGAGCAAGAGGGTCACTAGGGAAAGGGTAGGACCACTCAAAGACAAAGGAGGGAATTTATGCATGGAGCCAGAGGAGGTGGGTGAGGTCCTTAATGAGTACTTCACATCAATATTCACCAAGGAGAAGGACATGATCATGGTGAGATTAGGAAGGGGTTTGTTGATATACTAGGGCATGTCGATATTAAGAAGGAGGAGGTGTTGGGTGTCTTGAAAAACATTAAAGTTGATAAGTCCCCAGGGCCTGATGGGATCTATGCCAGGATAAGGAGACAATGGAGGAGATTACGGGGGCCTTGACAGAGATCTTTGTAACTTCTTCAGCCACAGGCGAGATCCCAGAAGACTGGAGAATGGCCCGTGTTGTTCCTTTGTTAAGGTAGAGAATAAAGGGATATGGACCATGTGCAAGCACATGTGATTAGTTTAGAATGGCATCATGGTCAGCACAGCCATGGTAGGCCAAAGGGCCTGTACCTGTGCTGTACTGCTCAATGTTCTATGTTCCATGTTCCATGTAAGCTGTTGCTATTTTCTAGATCCTTGTTGAATACTTTGTGCCATTTTAATTGTCTTCTTCGGTATCTTCTGTGCATAACATTTTATGCAAACACACTCTCATAGCTCTTAGAAATTTAGCATTTTGATTTACACTTATCTCATCTAATGTTCAATTTTGGTTATCCTCTTATGTTTTGTATGGCTATTGGGCCTTGATACTTTTTGATATAGGTTGGTATTTAAAATAAAGCAAAGAATAGTGGATGCTGGAGATCTGAAACACAACAGAAATTGCTGGCGAAACTCAGCAGGTCTGGCAGCCTCTGTGGGAAGAAAGCAGAGTTAATGTTTTGAGTCCTGTGACTTCATCAGAACTGAAGAAGAATTCTTAGCTTTTAAAATAGTTCAGCAATTTTAAGATTTTTTTGACTTCAATATCCTGTCCCTGTGATTATGTTCCCTTTTCTCCTAGAGGTACATTACCTTTGCAAAACCGTTAAGCATTCATTTTCATTTATGTGCACTTCAATTCTGTGCATCTAAGCATTTCTGCTATTCCTCTTTCCCTGGTCAGTCGACAGCTCACTTGTGGACTTCTGCTGACATTGCTACCTGCTGGGAGAGGTGTTGAAACAACGGATCCTCTCTGCCTGTGAGTAATTTTGATCAGCTCTTCCTCACAGAAGTGTAGCTAAAGCTGGGAATGCCGAAATTGTCATGATCAAGCTTCATCTTGACATGATTGTCCTGTGCTCTGCAGGAGGGGGTGGTGTGGTGTAGTACAGTCACTGGATTAGTAATACTCTGGGGTTAGGGATTAATTCCCACTGTGGTTGCTAAAAAAATTTAAAGACAATTAATACAAACAAAATCCACAGTTGAAAGCTGGTCTCAGTCATGGTGACAATGGACCAAATGTGAATTGCCTTTAAAAATAATTGGTTCACTAATACCCTTTAGACAGACAATTCTTAACTGATCTATACACTTAGTTCAAGGGACAATTAGGGGTGGACAAGAAGTTGTAGTCTTTGCCAGCGACACCAATGTCCCAAGAAATAATTTCTAAAACTTGCTTGAAACAAATGCTGGAATATTTCCAGATTTATTTCAGTATTTTGCTTTCACAGTTTTGAAAGTCCCATGATTTCTTTCATAGTTCCAGAGTTTGCTGTACACAGTGTGTGTTATATCTGTGTGTGGATGACTTTGACCTTAACTTTGGTCTCACTATCCCTGTAGCTTGCCAATATGAGCTACCACGCAGAGTATCAAGAAGTCTTATAGATTGAAATGCTTGGGACCTAAACATTAACCTGGTCACAAATGTTTCTGAGGCCAGGAATAGAATAACAGTTGTACTTTTCCTTTCATGAGGTGAAAAGTCAGAATTTTTTCCACAAGTGATTTATACCAAGGATTAATGAGAAAGCAAAGTTGCATTTAATCCAAGAGTCTCTCTCGAATGTACCGGAAGTGGGTTTTGTATTTTTGAAAAGTGTGTCACGTTCTACTCACAAGGGTTAAATGGTTATTGAAACTGCGCCTATGGCAGAGTACACGGAAGTATTTTGGCAAGTGAACCTTGATTGTCAAGTTCTGAAGCGGGGGGGAGCACTATCACTTATACACCTGTACAAGGTCTCTCGCTCTCTCTCTCTCTCACACACACACATATATATATACATACATACATACATATATACTCACTCACTCACTGACAAAGCTAATCCTTTGTGACAAGCTGCAGCTCCGGCTCACAGTCTCAGTAACCGGAGAATATTTGTCAGTCAGTAACAAACTCTAAGCGTTGATTAGGATGGCTTCTGACGAGAACGTTAAAGATCTGATTTTTGAAGGATATTTGAAAAAGCGAAAAGATAAGATGGTAAGCTGTTTCATTTTTATTTAATGACTTTTAGGGATTTTTCTGGAGGTCCGTTCTTAAGTGAGGTGAAAGCAAATTGAAGGGAGTCTGGTGTTGTAAGAGAGTAAAGATTGTCATTTATTTCTTTCCCTTTTGTAGAAGTTTGCTTGGGCAAAATACTGGTTTAGGCTCCAAAACACCACTCTGTTTTTTTACACTGAAAGGAATTGTGAAGCAGTAAGTATCCAGCTCAAAACTATCCTTTGACTGATCTGGCATCGATTCTTAGCCCAGTGTAGGTCCTGAATAACGTTCTCATTTTCTTTCTTTATAGTGTCACCTCCGGGGCCAATACTACATCCACACGGTGAGCCTTGTTTAAACTGTCTCTGGGGACTATTATCACCTGCTTTCTGACATTAAGGGGGAGAGCAATAGCTTGGGTTTTGATGTAAAGAGGATGAAATGACACTGATCAACTCTGAGATAGTTAAGAACTGCCGATGCTGGTATCAGAGATAACACAGCGTGGAGCTGGATGAACACAGCATGCAGGCAGCGTCAGAGGAGCAGGAAAGCTCACGTTTCGGGTCGGGACCCTTCTTCAGGCTCCAGACCAACACCCCCACCCCCGGGTCTGACTGAGCAGGCGACAGGGTGGGGCTCTAGGTGAGTGTGGGGGCCGCTGGGGAGGGGGAGCGAAGTGAAAGATTGGGGGTCACTAGCTGTGAGTCAAACATGGCCACTATTAAGGCTCTGAGCAAGTTCCAATAGCTTTCTCCTTCCCCCCCCCACCCCCCCCCCCACTCATCCCCCACCCCCCCCCCCTCCCACCGCCCCCCCCCTCTCCCCCCCCTTCCGCCCCCCCCCCCACACCCACCCCTCCGCACACACAAACAGCCCCCTTTCCCATCCTCTCCGTCCTCACTGAGGGCTCACAATGAACTTCAAGCGTCTCTGTGGGTGGGGTGGGGCGTCTCAGTGAGACATGGTTTGGAAAGATGGCCTTGTGTGTCAGTGTTAGTGCTTCTACTTAAACTCGGGTGGCTCAGTGGTTAGCACTGCTGCCTCACAGCACCAAGGGCCTGGGTTCAATCCCACCCTTGAGTGACTGTGTGGAGTTTACATATTCTCCCTGTGTCTGCGTGGGTTTCCTCCCACAGTCCAGAGGTGTGCAGCTTAGGATGGATCGACTGTGCTAAATTGTCTGAAGTGGCTGGGAAATGCAGGGTTATGGGGTAGGGGCGGGTGAGTTTGGGTTAGATGCTCTTGGGGAGGTTGATACTGAATTTCCTGTGCACTGATTTTGTCAAATTATAATTATTTTGTTGGTGCTTTCTGCCAGTTTTGGGAGACCCCTCCCCTGTCTGCTGTTTCTTATAGAATGGTCAGAACACTAGCACCATCAGAGCTGTTGTGGGACTAGGGGTTGCATTTCTCTAGAACACAGTGGGTTGGTTTTCATGAGGGGGAAGTCTTCAGACCAGAACCCTCTCCACTTGCACATTGCAGTGAACCAGAGCTCAGTACGTCTTCCTCAGTCTTCCAAACCATATGATTATCTTACCTGTGCAAAATTATTTAGACAGCCCAAAACTGGAAGTGTTAAACCTGCTCAGCTCGAGCTTCCCACTTTGCTGTAACAGATTACATGTTTGTAGACCTACATTTATGAAACACTGTGCTGCCTATCAGTTCCTTCTAAGTATTTGCTGTGTATAAATTAACTGCTACATTTCCTAATTTACAGCATTGAGTGTACGTCAAAAATACTTAATCGGCTGTGAAATTTTTTGGACATCCTGGGGCCATGAAACAGGATGTAGAAATACAATTCTTTTATATTTGGTACAGAGAATGGGAAGAGCTGTTTTTAATGGCACAAATATTGTGGGAAAATGCATGTTTGCCACTGGCACAAAGTGTGGGAAATTCAGACAGTAAACCACCCTGAGGCAATTTCACACATGATTCAAGCAGAAACACTGACACTCAAAGAGCATGTCTACAGCTCACCTGCCCAGTCACTGAATGAGTCATGGTGCAGGTACACTCTCGATAAATCAGCAGTGCAACCGGAAAAGGACAAAACAAATCGCTCAAGACCCTTTTGCCTTTGTTCTTTGTATATTTTGTGTTGAACATGTTTCTCAGGTTGGTCACCTGCTTTAAAGCCACACTTTTTGGTAACAGCTGGGAACATAGCGAGACTTCTCTCAACCTCTCGAACCTGCACTCCCATTCAACAGGATCATGGACTAGTCTGTATTGTAATGCACCCACCATGGTTTCATGCCCTTATAAAGTCCAGTTTAACTTGTTTGATCTCTGGTTTTAAATTATGTATTCAGTTAGTATCTTTTTTTCCCACTCTTCAGCAAGTTTTTCCTACATTCTCATGATTTTAAGATAATGCCCTTTGTCCTTAACTTACAGACCATAAGTATCTTGTTTCTATCGAATCCATTTATTTTAAGGGAGTAGAGACATGTGACCATATTTCTCAAGCAAGGTTTTCTTCTGTTAAAGAAAGAGTAAATCTTTTATCTGTCACACCCCAAAAAATAAGATGTCAAGCATATGGCCTCCCTGCAGTCATTTGGGCCTTGCACTCACACTCACACTCAGACACAGACACTCACACACATGGGACGTTGGTTAGTCAGTTCAATTCCCACACTGACTGAAGTTACCATCAGCATGGTGACTCAGTGGTTAGTCCTGCTGCCTCATTACGCCAGCGACCTGGGCTCGATTCCACCGTCAGTGTGGAGTTTGCACGTTCTCCCCGTGTCTGTGTGGGTTTCCTCTGGTTGCTCCGGTTTCCTGCCACAGTCTGAAGATGTCCAGGTTGGGGTGGATTGGCCATGCTACATTGCTCATAGTATCCAGGAACATGCAGGCTGGATGGGTTAGCCATGGGAAATACAGGGTTACAGCGATAGGGTAAGGGGAGTGGGTCTGGGTGGGATGCTCTTTGAAACGTGATGGGCCAAATGGCCTGTTTTCACACTGTAGGGATTCTATGATCGCTTGTACACAAACACACACTGTCACAGACAAATACACACTATCATTAACTAACACACACACACACACACACACACACACACACTCTGTCTCTCTCTCCCATACACACTATCATTAACACACACACACACACACACACTCTGTCTCTCTCCCACACATACACACACACACACACACACACACACTCTCTCACACACACACACTCACACTCACAGGCAGAAATGCAAAGATACAGATGGAAGCACAGGAATAAGCCCACGTTCCAAATGACTTTTAAACAAAAGTTGAAGTCTAACAGAAGCTCCGATCCGTTTTCACATCAAGGCATTGGGCTGTCAGCTCAGGACCAGCTCGACGCTGTAAATACTGAAGCATCTCTGAGCTCTGTAAAAGTGACCAGTTCATTGCTGGGACCTGCCTGAAAGCAGCACAGCCCAGGTCAGGTGTAGATCAGCGAGAGCACCGGGTTAAACATTAAACTAAGCTGGAGGAAATCATCCTTCACAAGGTGCGACAGAAAAATAAAATGAAAGAGAGAGGGGGACAGAGAGAGAGAGGGAGGGCACAGTGAGAGGGAGAGATGGAGAGAGAGGGAGGGCACAGTGAGAGAGAGAGATGGAGAGAGACGGATACAGAGAGAGAGGGACAGAGAGAGGGAGGGCACAGTGAGAGAGAGATGGAGAGAGAGAGAGGGAGGGCACAGTGAGAGAGCGATGGAGAGAGAGGGATACAGAGAGAGAGGGACAGAGAGAGGGAGGGCACAGTGAGAGAGAGAGAGAGGGGGGGACAGAGAGAGAGAGAGAGGGGGGGACAGACAGAGAGAGCTGGAGAGAGAGGGACAGAGAGAGAGAGGGAGAGGGAGGGGAGGAGGGCACAGTGAGAGAGAGATGGAGAGAGAGGGAGGGCACAGTGAGAGTGAGAGAGAGAGTGTGGAGGGGACAGAGAGAGAGAGATGGAGAGAGAGGGACAGAGAGAGAGAGGGAGGTCACAGTGAGAGAGAGATGGAGAGAGAGGGAGGGCACAGAGAGAGAGAGGGGGAGGGACAGAGAGAGAGAGATGGAGCCGGGGGTTGGGTTGGGGTGCAGAGAAAGAGAGATGGAGAGAGAGGCGGACAGAGAGAGAGCTGGAGAGAGAGGGAGGGCACAGTGGGGGAGAGAGAGAGAGATGGGGACAGAGAGAGAGAGATGGAGCCGGGGGGGACAGAGAGAGAGAAATGGAGGGAGAGCGACACAGAAAGAGAGAGATAGAGAGAGGGTGGACAGAAAGAGAGAAATGGAGGGAGAGGGGGACAGAGACAGAGATGGAGAGAGGGGGTACAGAGAAAGAGAGAGGGAGCGAAGGAAACTGAGTGAGAGAGGCAGAGAGAGAAGGAGAGAGAGAGA